TTTCGTAAACCGCAAAACCGAGGATTCTTATTCCTTTCTAGAGTACACGAAACCGCAATAAAAAAGACACATATATCTTAGAAAGCACTCAAATAAAAAAAGATCACCCAACATAAGAACATGAGGCACAAATAAAAGAGGCACGCAAAATTAAAGAAAAACAAAAAATCGAACTCGTGTTTGCTAACTCCTTCTCACGCGCAGCTGTCATATCCGGCTACGAACAGAGATTTCTGGTACAAGCAGAACGTGCGGTGATTTGTGTCGTACCTCGTAATTCCGGAGAATATCTACGCTTCCGACATTGCCCAACCCCAAAATGGACTGGCTGGCTTCGGATCCTGACAGGAGGAAGGACTGCGCCTGGCTTCTTTGAGACCGGAAATCTCGGGCCCCGAGAGGGCCGTGGCAGCTGGGCAGTCTCGCGAGATGCGGTCTAATTACCGAGACGTTGGGAGATCCGTCGTAGCTAAATTGCTGCTCTTAGGAACGATATATTACCTTGGTTGGCACTCCTGCATGGAGCATCTGATATATATATAGAGATTAGTCGCTGAAACAAGCCAAAGAAACAAGCATAACATTTTACGTTTGTGTTTAGTCAGCCTAAGGTTGGTCTAGCTTTAAGCTGCGGCGACACTGGTTTACGCTCTAGATAAAAATTTAGCCAGTGCAGTACGACTGCTAGCCTGGGGTCTTTAACGTGCACCACGCAGTAGCGATACGCGATCCCATGCCGGTACGATGCTCATCTAGAACGAAACGGGCAGAGTTGGGGATAGGAACCAGCACTCCTGGATTCAGCAGCGCGGCCTCTCGCTCCATGTGCTGTGGGCTGCGGTGCGTAATACACTCGCCCCCTCCCCTTCCCTTTCCCCGCTTGCCACCCCCCAGCAGGGACTACGAAAGCGGCATGGCCACCACAAGCGATAGCGATGAAATATTTCGCAGTCATTATTTCTGTCGGGTGTGTGCAAAGACGACCTATGTAAGGCTCTGCGTTAAAAACATGGGCGTGCGTGCGGACTCCATATTGTTTAACAATAACGCGCGAACGCCAATTGACCGGTAGATCAGCGCCTTATCGCGGCGTGAAACAGCATGTCAGCGAGACTATGCGCTTCTGGCCGAAGGCACACGCATAGCCTCACTGACTTGCTGTTTCAAGCCACGATAAGGCGCTGATCTACCGGCCGGTTTGTTGTTTACGCGTTATTGTTGAAAAATCTAGAGGCTGTACATTAGGCTGAACTCGTTATTCCGCATATTTTCAAAGGTGTACTTTCTCTGCAAATTGAAAAATTTGAAACCTCATGTTCAACAGGCGTTGATGTGCCACTAGTGACAGAATTTTGAACATGACGCTCAGCGCAATCGGGAAGCATACGGGCATCCGTGTACCAAGGACGATGAGGTGGTTGTTGAGTCGTTTGCATCAAAAGGCGTGTATTCGTGCACAAAAATAACATTATTTTGACCTCGCGTGATTTTAGTCAGGGGTTTATTTCTAATAGAGTTCATAAAGTTTTACATATTCTTGTAATTGGGGTGCATTTTACTCCAATATTACCCAAATACACCCCTTTTGTTAACAGTGTGATACAGCAATAGGCGACACAGTCCTTCGTGAAAGGCTTGATCGAGAACCTTAGAGGGAGAGGAATGGCTTAACTTATGCAAGAAATAAAGTGAACCGGGAACGCTGCCTCGGGGTGATATAACGGGAAGGCAGCCTGATTTGACCTGACCAAGATGAACAGACTGTTTACGTATATGAACGATTTCAAGCAGGACAGCTTACGGCCGCCATACCTGCTCATGTGGGCAAGTACGAGCAATTTCAAGCTTGACAAAGCTACGTTCACGCGCACGCTGGACGGGCTCGACTAATGAGACACCAGGCGGGCGCCATGGTTGCAACTGTCTATAGGGGGTATAGACTCGACACCATATTTGAGGGTTCTGTTTAGAGCGCATGCTCAGAACGAGCTTACATTAAAAGACTGATACGACCGGCAATCTTGATGGACTGGAACGCACGTTGCAAAAAGCTATGGAAGCTGAACAACAGCACGCGTTCAGCATTCGCGCACACAGCTATGGCCGCCAGTAAATACTCACACCACGGGGTATACACTGGACGCCATATTTGAGGGAGCTGCTTAAACCGCATGCTCAGAACGAGATCACGTTATTAGGCTGCTCAGAACTGGCCATTGTGATGGTGTGGAATGCACGTTGCAAAACAACTATGTAAGCTCACCTTCAGCACGCGCTCAGCAGTCGCGCATGCAGCTATGGCCGCCAGTGAATACTCCCTACGCACATTTCCCACAAAGGCGCAGCTACCTTGAATGTCTTCACTTCTAATGTGCGTTAAACTATTGTTTTGATTTATCCACAACGCTTGAATGTGTACTTGAAAAATTCATGAATGTCAGAGATTCTTGTTTTGCCCCACCTAGAGTTTCTCGCATATTCCAAGTTGAAAAATCTCTTCCTATTTTTCCGTCCCGCATACCAGATACGGAACCCACGTGACTGAGAACGGGAGGAAACGAAGGAAGTCTATAGTTCGAAGATAGGCGCCGAAAGAACAAGGGCGAGAAGGGGCGTAAACACTGGTGCTTATCTTCGATCTTAAACCAACTGGCCCAAATTGCCGTCTTAATAAAGTCAAACTGACCTAATGAAGACGGCAGGACGTATGTTTCGAACGCCCGGCCTCCATCACGCGCTCTACACATTCCTCGGCGCCTCGGCTGCGCGTGCGCGCTGGAGGTGCAAGAAAAGCCGAAGCGTTGCCGAAGGTGCGACAACTGGCTTCTTCTTCGTCTTCTCCGTCTTGTTTTTCTTCTTTGTTTTCCTCTTCGACGTCTTCTTCTCCTTCTTTGTCTCTCCTTTTTGTTTTCTTATTCTTCGTCTTCGTCTTATTCTTCTCATTCTTCCTTCCCTTCTTCTTTTTCTTGTTGTCCTCCTCCTCCTCCTCCTCCTCCTCCTTCTTCTTCTACTTCTTTTTCTTTTTCATCGTTTTGTTCATGGTCGTCTTCACTGTCATCTTCATTGTTGTCTTCACCTTCTTGTTTTCTACTTCTTCTTCATGTTCTTTTTGTTCTTAATATTACCGTTATTAAAGGGCTACGGAAACGAACTTTTTGCTATTATTTCTATGTTTAGATATTAACTATGTTATGGCGGAATCCCAGAAGCAGTCTAGACTATTGTTTCTGGGCTGCCGGGAGAACATTTAAGAAAACTGATTTTAAAACGAAGGAACAGATTTCGAGATTGCGCCTGGTGGCGGCCTGTAGAGCTCCGTTGGTGTGCCGCCAAGTCATCGGTATCTAAGAAGCAGCGCCAGTTTGCTGCAGTATGGCTCTCTCGTGGAGTTACTTAGTCTTGAATATGACCTGGGCCGGTTTTCTCGAAGCGATGGTAAACCCATTTTGGTAAACCACGGTACCTAGGAAGGAAAAAGTACCTAGGTTCTGTAATAAACGGCTGGATATAAAAGCACAATAATTATTTTTGATTGGGCAGTAAGATGCGTCGTCTATCGGTGAAACAAGCCAGTCATTTTGTTTATTCTCTCTTTCCGCTGGTTGTTATCGCTCTAGTATGGTATTTTAAATCAAAATATAGTAATGTTGTACTTGAAGACCAATTTATTTGCTTCAGATGCTACGAAGAAATTTTAGCTACTATGCTAGAGTTTGTCGACGAATATTTGAAAACGTAAGAAACATTTCCTTCAATATGTTTCGCCATAAACTACGCATAACTTTCCCGTGTCCCTTCCAGTCTGGCAACGCCGCTGTAGTCTCGTTTTTGTTCCCTGCGACGCACGTTTCTACGATTCCTGCTGATCTCAACTGTTTGCCCTCTCTTCCGTTTGCCCAACCGATCCACCGATTAGCCCACCGACCGACTGCGGACTTACTAACAACTGATTTGCGGACCTATTTGTATTTTGATAACGGAAACGACGTCGAACGGAACGAGGCGTCGACGTCGACGAGACCGCGCGTACGCGCAGTACGCTGTCGTCATGCTGGGACGACAACGTGTGTTCCGGGACCGCCTCAATCCGCTGGAAGAATTCGACGAGGATGCGCTGCAGCAACGATTCCGGTTTGGTCGCGCGGGAATTATGTTTCTCGCGGAGACGCTGCGCCCGTACTTGGAGCGGTCGATGCGTCGCAGCTGCGCCCTGTCCGCAGAGCAGCAGGTGATCGTCGCTCTGCAATTCTACGCCACAGGCAACTTCCTCATCACTGCAGGCGACTACGTCCACGTGTAAGTCTCTAGTGCTTCACGGTCCGTGAGGCAGGTCACCGTAGCTCTGGCACGTCGTGCAAGGGACTTCATACGGTAAAGAGTTCCTGAGCGTTCCGTGTCAAAAAAAAAAGAAGAAAAGTCAGATTGTGTTGAGTTTGTTTATGAGTAAAGCTATACGCACTCCGTCGTGCACCTCGGCCGGAAAGGGCTATACGCACTACGCGAAACTGCCCTCCAGAGAAAAGGGAAAGAAGGAGCTACCCTCTTATCAGGATCCTCCTTTGTGCCTCCCGGGTTTGCACAGGCGTTGCTATTTTCCTGCCAGATGATTAGAGAAGATTAACCCGTTACTCAACATTCTTACAAAGGCAGTTTCCCTCTCCTCCTTTTACTTGGTGTTCAAAAGTATGCGATGTGACGTCAGTGCAAGGAGCCTATAACACGAATGGTTACAACGTGTTTTATAAGTGGTGGCATAGCATAGGGGTAAAAAAAAAAGAAGAAAAGATGGCATAGCATAGGGGCATACACCATGCTTAGGGGGGTAAGGTATCTGCTTCATCCATAAGTGGACACGGGTTCGATCCGCGGTGTGGGCCCACTTTTGTTTTCTCCAACATTTTGTTTTGTCGAGGCATTTGGCGATATTTACGACATTTCTTTTTTACGATGAACACTGAAAACAGAAAAAAGACGAATGTTGTCGGCTAAACTTTGCAGAAATGTGCATGCTAGGGTACTGTGCTGTAAGTTAACTTGTGAATGTATTGACAATGCTGGTGGCCTGACGTCGCAGAGAGTGCTGCCTTGCAGGAGCGGTTCTTTGACGTAGCCGGGCTCCCTTGTGTCGTGGGTGCTGTTGATGGCACCCACATTCGAATCCAGGGACCGCGCGTGCACGAGGAGGTGTACGTGAACCGCCACCTGTACCATTCCATCAACGTACAGGTGGTAGTTGACGCATCCTGCCGCATACGCAATGTGGTTGCGAGATGGCCAGGAAGCACGCACGACTCCCGGATTTTCACCGAGAGCACACTATCAGTCAAGCTGGACGATGGCGTCTACGATGGCCTATCGCTCGGCGACAGCGGCTACACCTGCCAGCCGTGGCTGATGACGCCCTTCCTGTCGCCATCATCAGCAGCAGAAGTCAGGTACAACACGGCACACACCACGACAAGGTGAGTTGTTGAAAGGTAAGACAAGGTCACGCATCGTGGTGGGTTACTGGGCTGCTATATTGAAAAGAATGCCACTAGAAAACGTAACGTTTTGTTGTCATAGCACAGACGACACTGTTAATTGTAACGCCCCTACATACAGTTTTGTGCTCTCTAGACCAAGCAGAAAACTGTGGTTGTACGGAACCTACAGAGAGAAGAAAGAAAATACTATCCCAAGAACTTATATTTATTTATTGTACTTTTCCAGTGCCCCTATACGGCCCGAGGGCCTGCGTAAGGGTGCACCGTAGACACATTTATGCAGTGTTGCATAAAAAGCAGACACGCAAAACGCATGCATAGTATCAACAAATAAAAACGTGAAATATTCTCCAACATATTTTTTGGAGAACATATCAGATTGTTTGTTTGTTAGGGGCAGGATTTGTTGCATACGTGTGAAAGTCAATATTTTGGTTCAACCTGGATACAGAAGAGCAAAAAGATACAAATGCAAAGCCGTGTTTTTTTTCCGGCCCCACCTTTACAGAAATTACACGCCTACTTGTCATACATTCTAAAATACTCCACACTGCTGGGACTCGCCGTAAAAATGGGACAAATTGCACCGGGCTCGGGTTGCGATAGGGAAGTCGTTGACAGCCATCTTCGGACTGCTAATGTTAACGACTGTTTGTATGAAGCTGTGTTTCGCTTACACTCAGCTATGAGGAACATTTGTCGAGGGAAGTTTAATATGGTGTACATGTAAACATACTGTTATATAATATGGGCAATGATAAGAAATGATTGCCGGGTTTTCGGTAGGCTACAGCATTCAGAAACTATGAAATAGTCTCAGCCCTAATATATTAGTGTAATTTAAATAAATAATACTCATTCTGTTCATATGATGCACGCAGGACAATAGGCCAGCTGAAGCGCAGGTTCCACTGCCTGCACGCCGAGCTGCGCATGGAGCCAAGCAGATGCTGCGACATCATCGTGGCATGCTGCGTGCTCCACAATCTCGCCAAGAGATACCCCTGCGTGATGCCAGGGACTGCCATCCCGCCTGAGGTTCCTGTGGAGCCCATGGCAGCCGGCCGTGGAGAAAGCAACGAGGCCCGGCGTGCCCTTGTCGACCAGCTCTTCTGTTGAGCGTAGGTATGTGGGTATGTGGTCTTTTCAATTCAAACTGATTTTCTTGAATGCGAGATACATACAGAGATATTGTCCTCCCTGTGTGTTTACCAGGCTCCGTAAATGGATAACCATAATAACAAGCTGAATGTGGCATGCGATTTCATATAATAAATTTTCTTGAATGCTTCGTGGCATCTTTTGACTGTGGGTTTACCAGCAGCTAATATAAGGGGCTGAACCAACCCCAACATATTCCTTGGAGAACATAGATATTTTAAATCTTTATTAAGCACTCTTCATGTATGGTTTCAATACGAGGGTAAACAGGCTTTGCGAAATTCACTCGTTGCAAAAGAATGGAAGTGTTGGCAGATATTAGAGCAAGCAGATGTTGTGCTGCGACTGCTATCCACCTTTATTTGCAAAAGCGTTGCTTGGAGACGATGCAGCGCCCGTCGTATGCCGCTCAGGCGTCCACTCTCATATTCAAGACGTCTGTACCCTTTCCTGATTCCGAACATTGTAGCAGAAAGAGTTCCTCAAGCATTGCAAACCATATTGCCTCGAGAAACCATCTTCATTGCAGCATGTTTTTTGTTGGATGCAACAATTACATGCAGTTAAGATGTAATGTGGCGGTGTCCAAAAAAGGTAACGCTTCTGAACAGCATTGCAGGCACGGATCAGAATCATTCTCGCCTCATCCAGTTTCGGTATGTAGTAACAAATGCCCAAAGATTCATTGACATATCTTGCAGCGTACCTCATTGTAAAAGGTTGGAGTTGGTTAAGCAGCATAATTGCAACTGCGTTTAACAGTGAAATTGTTGGATGACCCATGAAACCACATACGCAAAAGTCCTGCATATCTATTGCTGTTGTGTGCCTCGGTCAACAGTGCGTGCGGCTTTTGTGCGAAAAGCTTCGGCCCACTTCTGCGTGTTGGTCATCGTGCTTGTCTTCGTACTACAGGCTACGCGAACATCAATGCCCTCAGTGCGAGTAATTATGGGGGTGAGCGAAATAATAGCCTTAAAAATAATACGATTTCATTTTATTGCTCCTCTGTCCTATACATTGGTACCACCATTACCATATTTAAAAGTATTCTACAGGTGAGAGGAGTCAACCTGTATGCGTCACAGTAGTGGCCTGATTTTAACAGCCACTATTGGTCATGTACATAAGAGGAATAATTCTGACATTGGCTATTTCTCTTAGTAAAAGAGTAAAGGGTGAATAAAATCGCTGTCGAACAACGTTGAAGTATGGTAATGCCTGTTTACTTCGGGAAGTGAACAAAGAGAGTACAGAGTTCCTGAACGGTGTAAATTCCGCGACACACTCTCCTCGAACAAATCAGGCAGACCGAGTGGTCACACCAGTAACCATGCATTTAAACGCATAATCACTGTTTGCGCCGTGCAGGCACTTCCTAGGTTATTTGCTTACCTGCCGTTTTGTTTTGTGCAGGGTCGAATTATTAAGCTTCTTTCTTTAGTGCCCAACAATGATGTTTTTGACGTGTCGACAGGCTTGCGCACATGTATGGAAACTCAGCTGGTTAGATTGTCGCTGGTGTCGGATACCAATGTGGTACTCTGGAATACTGGGGAGGCGATAAAAATATTTCATTATTCGTTAAAATTACTTGCACCATCTTACTCGCTGTCGCATAGGGTCGAGTGTTTTTCTCCAGGGACGACTACCCCATAACATACTGAGGTTTTCACAAATCCTTGCATTTCAAAATGTATTTTATTATTTCACCATCCGCCCTTGCTTCGTCAATCTAAAAAAAAAACTCGTTGAACTTAATGCCCCCCCCCCCCCTTTGGTCTGTTCTGATTACTCCTTTCCCAATTGTTTTTTCAAAAGCTCAATTTGAAGTTCAGCCTGCAAGGTTTGTAGCCTTAGCATTTCAGTGTAATAGTGTTTAGCAGCATCTGCTGCAGCGATTTGTGCATTGGAGGCATCTATGGCTATTTTTGTTGCCTCCCTATCCAACAGGAGGTTCTCTGCTTCCATCCGCTGCTGGTCCTCAGCTTGCTGCTGATACCTCTGCGCAGCTTCCCGGCACCAACGTCTCGTCTGCAAGACACGGGGAGCTGCTGCCCACTCTTCTGCTGCTGCCACCCTTTGGCCGCTTCCTGACGCCCGAGGCTGCAGCGCTGCCGTTTGCCTCAAGCTATCGCTGTGACAAATGGATATGCAGGAAGTGATTTGCTGTAGTTATTAGAAGTTCTGGCAACATACGTATAACATACAGTGTTTGTGACCCCGACATGTTGCTGGAATTTTGCCACAGTGTACTTAACTGTAGAACAGTAACTCTCTGATGCTTCAAGCATCTCCGAGTGGACCACACACATGGTGCTCATGCAGAAATCTATGCTCAACGTAATATCCCGAGAAATTGCCCACCCAAAACTGAGAGCACATTAGGTAAAAATAAGGGGTAGGCTAACATTCGGTGTTCACAAGGTAGCTCAACTTGAGCCATTGAAAAATAGAGTCCTGAGCTACAAATCAGGATGGGCTATCTGTTGGGGATGGGTCGTCTCTCGGGATATTACGGTAATATTCCTTGCACCGGTTGCAACTTTCAGTATTTCATTACCTTTAGCTTTATTATAAATTTCTTAACCTTGCCGTTTATTTCACCTAAGGATGTTGTGAAACCAAACATTCAAGTCTCGTTGTTTACGAAATCCACGATGCTACAAAAGAGTCTTCGCTTGGCTATGTATAGAGTCAATCTCGCTATGGCTTTCGATCTCCTGTTAAACCGATAACTGATGCCATCAACGCTACCTCTTTCCTTTTTGCGTTCCGCACTAGTTCGTCACAGCATAAACAATGAGTTTGTTCACTCATTCAACAACTCATCAAATATCATGCGTAACAACAGGGGTGTACCTCTTTTTTTTCAAAAGGAAGCATATTGTCTTACATGTTGCACCTGTTGGTTAAGCGGTTAGAACTAAATATCAACACCTTGCATTCCTTCAACCATCAAAAAGTGTACTACAACTCTTCTTTGTATCTGGCTTTGGTACATCGGTAGTTATGTTGTCTGGTTGTTAGCTATGTTAGTAATGAGCAGATTTTGCTGCATATCCTTCTGTGTGTGTTTGTTTTTTTTGCAGGTTGTTTGTAGAGCAATTATGCAGCCGTATGAGTAAAATGAAGAGAAATTCACGATTACATGCTTGTCATAAGTGACCCAAAGGCAGTGCAGTATGTCCGGTAGCCTGGGCTCCCTATCCCTAACCTGCTCAACGCAGTAGTGATACATGAAAGTGCGCTGATTTCCAATTAGATATTGTGTTTATGGCACTATAACAATTTTTACAATCTCTTTGTTCTCACATCAGTTTCTTAGGGTCCCACCATTAATAACAGAGCTGTTCTGCATGCCCGGCACCCAGTGCTGTTGACTTGTCATACAGACTGATGTAAGAGTAATCCACTCACTCTTCCGTGTCACCCTCAATGACATCGAGCTCACACAGGTTCGGCGAGTCGACGCCACTCACGTCGAGAACTGCCTGAATTAGGGGCGTAAGTTCATGGGGGTTCGGGCCGGCACCTACCAAATGAATGCACATTATTTTCATTCCGTATTCACCCAGGCCCCAGAGGCATTGCAGAGTGGAGGGGGATCAATAACCAACTACCAAGCTAGAATATAAACAGCAGAAATCCAACGGCATTATGAAGCATCAAATGAAAGCATAGTAATTTATACTGTGTGGCAGAAATGTAACTTATTAATATTGCTGTGGAGTGATCTCGCAACAGTGACCTTCCAACATGCACATCGCTGCGTGCAATTGTGCTGCAGCCAACTTTGTACATAGTGCTTTCTGTGTGCCTTGAGGATGCAGTAGTGTAGGGTATTCAGGGACGTGTTCGATGAACAACTATGCCCTAAGTTTTAGGACTGTTTTCTTAAAAACAACAGAAAAGGCACAGTTTAGGTGGTGTGCTTTCAACATTTTGATCTCCTCTGTCTCAGGTCTACCACACTTTTTGCTGTTTCATGTGTGTCTCGGTTACTAAAGCACGGTTAAAGGAAATTTCAATAAATTGTGTTGAGATGTTGCCTCTTTTGATATTATTACTGTTTTCGAACAGGGACAAGAATGTAGTGGAAAGTTACACGTCAACACTCACTTTTATATCTGTCATCAGTCATGCCATAAAAAAATTAAATGCTAACACGGCATTATAATCCATGGAAGAAAAGGTTCTGTTTATTTTTTGTGTACCTGCCCCCCCCCCCCCCCTCAACTTTAAAGCGAACAATTGAAAACTAGTTTGTTCTTCGAAATATGCGATTTCCTCCGACTCACCTGTGCGCCCTTCATGCTTCTTGTAGGCGCTGTAGACCTTTCTGCATTTTTTCAGGAGGTTTTGCCACGCCTCCTTCAGCTGCGTTGTGTTCCTCTAAGCTCCCTGCTCATTCATTGCATCGGCAATGTCGAGCCACGCCTGCTGTCTCGTGTGTGCAGTTACTGCAGGACCGAATTTTCCCATAATTTGTTCCCTTCTTGCCCCAACTTCCCGAATTAACTTCAATCTCTCGTCTAATGTCATAATTTTTTGCCTCTGTTCGCAAACCCTCGATACTGACGCTTGGTTCATTTTCAACCGACGTTTGCGGACAGGACACTATCGTCTGCTACCTTGGTTTCTCTACCCGCACACCTGCGTTTTGCTATATATCGCAATAAGACGCAAGATAATCCTAATATCACTTTTAAAAACGAAAAACAAAACGAAAGGATGATCTCGTAAACTTTCTTTGTGATAAGTGTTCGTTTATTTCTCGTTTCTGCGACTTCTGCAGATGACATCGGCAAAGGTTGATTCGTATACCGCGCTTGTACTATCTTTTCCATTGGTGGATGCATCGACCGACCGTCGCGGTCAGAACCAGACGCAGCGGCACTGCTTCAGCGTAAAGCTAAGGTTCTCGTCACCGTTGAATTGCTGGCCACCGGGGATAT